GCTTCAAGTCCACCCTCTTCTTCTCTAGGCCTCTCCCTTTCCTTTTCTCTCCAGAAAAACATGCACAGGGGTTTTGTGCCTATTAAGATGACCATTCATGTTTCAAAGATAAAAAAGGAATTATCTGAAATATAAATGAAAAAGCTCATGTTTAAGGTACTGCTATCTATAACGTTTTATTCCTGGCATAAAATCAGGTGTGTCAGAATGCATACATGAGTATATTGTACAGTAATTGCTTGGAAACATTCTTTTTCTGATCAAATACTTCTTAGCAGCTTTAAAACACAACAGTCAACTCATGTTTCCTCTAGCACCAAATAAAGGACATCCCTTAAAACAGTCTCTTATTTCCTTGCTCTCTTCTTTCATTTTCCCCTAACACTTTCTTCTCTACTTCTCGCTGTCCAACTCTTTGTCTTTTCCTTCCATCATCTCTTTTTTCTCCCCGTGCTCCCATCAGTTTATGGTACTCCTTTATACATGGCATTCCCAGAATTTCTCCTACACCTCCTTGTTTGCATAGCAGGTGTTCTCTTCTCCTGACCAGACCCATCACTAGCTAAATGTATCCTGTGTTTCTTCCTGATTCTACCAAAGATAGCAGCCAATGCTGCAAAAAGAAGAAACAATGTAGAGCAGGGATAGGCAACCTATGGCACACACGCCAAAGGCGGCACGCGAGCTGATTTTCAGTGGCACTCTCACTGCCTGGGTCCTGGCCACCATCCGGGGGGCTCTGCATTTTAATTTAATTTTAAATGAAGCTTCTTAAACATTTTAAAAATCGTACTTACTTTATATACAACAAGAGTTTAGTTATATAATATAGACTTATAGAAAGAGGCCTTCTAAAGAACATTAAAATGTATTACTGGCAGGCAAAACCTTAAAGTAGAGTGAATAAATGAAGACTCGGCACACCACTTCTGAAAGGTTGCCGATCCCTGATGTAGAGCAAGTGAGAGAGAGAGAAGAGCACTGATCAGTACAAGGGTGCTCAGCTAGATTTATCTTTCTCAATCAGAGAAAGCAAAGCAGTGAAACAATAATTGTTATCCCTATGCTGCAGCCAACTGGTAAATCCATGAACAGGCAACTCCAATCAGGGCCGGATTAACTCTCCTGTGGGCCCAGGGCTATTAGATTTTGTGGGACCCCTGTATACAAGTCTTTTTCCTGGAAGGGAGTTTGGTGCAGGAGGGGGCTGGGGCAGGGGACTGGGGTGCAGGAAGGGATGCAGGCTCCGGCCAGGAGGTGTAGCAGGGCACAAGCAGGTTGCCTGCATGCCGTGGCCCCATGCTGCTCCCGGAAGTGGCAGGCTGCTAGCACGTCTCTAGGGCCCCTGAGGGGAGGGAGACAGCATGTCTCCGTGCGCTGCCCACATCCACAAGCGCCACCCCCATAGCTGGGGACGTTTTGCGGCCCAGAGTTGGAGATCGCTGCCTGTGATTTATTTTTGCGGGGCCCCCCCTTGAGCCGGGACCCTGGGCTGCAGTCTCGAAAGCCCCTGCCTTAATCTGGCCTTGACTCCAATGCAGGAACCTGGAAGCCCAAAAATCAGAACCATCAGAAGAACCCAGGGTTTTGAGAAGTGCTAGGGCTGAGTTGATGCATCTTTAAACTACATACAGGTGACCCAATCCAAAATCCCACATCCAAACAACCCCACACTTTGTGACATTTGAAATACAGATTCAAATTTTGCCATGAGCCGATCCTCTGCTTTAACCATTCAGAGAAAATCACAGACCAGATTAAAACAGGGGATTTGAGTTTTTTTGCTCAGGACTGTAATGAGAAGTATTTGAGTCAAAATAATCTGGTTTCAGTCATAGAAATTTATTTTAGGAATACAGAATCCTATTTAGGCTGGTGTGAATTTTCCTCAGAACTAGTTATCCAGCAGCAGAAAATACTGTCAAACATCAAGAGTTATCAGTAAGTTTGTTTTGCTAAAATTTCCCACAGTTGCTAACAATGCTACTACTCCACAGCGGGTGCACTAGAGCAGAAAGGGCTCCAGACAGCCATTAACATTTCAATCACCTTATTGTCTAACACTGTCCAGAGTAGGTCTACATGATATGGGTACAAGTCCTCACTTGGTGTAAATCAGCTCCTCCAAAGAAAATGGAACTATGCCAACATACACCATCTGAGGATCTGGCCACTGATGCTTAAAATGCCAGCATCTACCAGCTCCTTTGTCTACGTTAGCACATCTAATGTTGCCCCCAGCAGTGGCGTGGTGCTGGTATTAGCAACTGTGGGAAATGTTAGTATAAAAATAAAATCTCAAGTATGGACACAGACTTACAGTGCTGTTTTAGCAAAAATGATCCTAGTTTAGAGATGGCCTAAGACTATCATCCACTCCACATCAGTGAAGCACAGAGTAAAAGAATAGGATTTTAGCTATCCATATTTAGTTACTAAATAAATTGTACTGAGATTTTGCTGTGCACATTATTTCACATCACTCCATTGGTATTATCATTCCTTTTGTTTATTAGTATCCATTGAAAGAATGAAATAATTAACTATAGCATTCATTAAAGAATTAGAAAACAGAGACCCATTGTATTATCCAGGCTACAGGTACAATACACATTGCTAAACACTCATTGCAATATAATCGGCCCCGGTAGAGACCATCCTTTCCAGATTCAGTATCTATTTTACAGTAAAACTGGAACTTTTTTGTATTTTAAAATATAAACCAATGTGGAAGGCAATGTATGCTTGCTGGCAAATGTGTGTGACTGCTTCATATAATGCATCTTATCCTGGATAGCAGGGTCTTGAATTGAAAATCCTTAGTGGAGTTTTGTTGTTCCAAATATATTTGCTTATTAAAAATTTTAAGCTATTATTGGAATGAAAAGTGATGAAAAACAGAAGATTAAACCTTTCCCAATGTATTAAGTAACTCAAAGCAGCGCAAAATTAGTTCTTTAGACTGATTTCACCTCTCTGGTAGTGAGCACCCATGGAAATTCAAATTTGGGCAATGGCAGAAAGAATGATATCAAAAGAGACATTAGTGATACAGACTCCGAAGGCAAGAGGCTCTGGAATGACACTCTATAGTCTATACTAACAATCAGCATGGGGAGGTCTTACTAGAATCTCCATATTTGGCCCTTATCAGACTGGAACAGAAGTTGGATGCTATCAATATTTTGGAGATTTGAACAGAAATTAAACCGGAACAAAAGACTGGTTGTGTAGGGAAATACAGTGAGGGGACAACAACAAAAAATCATTACCCTGCAAGCTCAAACAGATCTGTTAATGAAGGGTAACAACCACCAATTAGGAAGGAAAATACCATATCTGGAGAACACTCCAAACTATACCAATTTATGGTTAGTGAATTTTCCAAAATGTGGATGGTGAATTAATTAATAAAATTACGGCTTGAGCTGTTCAAACTGTACTTTCTGGAGAGTGCTTCCCATTTACTGGAATGAGCTGTTCTAACTAGTTAGAAATCTATGTATTGAACTTAATTGAAGACATGCAACTGAGTTACTGCAGTGTTAAGGTTGTTCAGTTACAATCACAAAAATTCAGGAAATGCAAAAGTTAAGGTTCCAACAGCAATGTTAACTTGGCTCCATTACACATCCTGTATGTACCGTAGTCAAGCCCAGATAAAGGCAATCCAGAGACCTAGAGTCACCATGACATCAGGGTCATTTTATGACTTTTTAATAACAAAAAATAAAACTTAGCACTTATATAGCACTTTTTATTCTGTAGATCTCAACGAATTTTACAAAGGTGGAGAAATAACATTTATTTTACTAATGGGGAACACAGAGGTGCAGTGACTTTCACTGGGTCATTCAGCAAGTCAATGACAGAGGTGGGATAGTTAATTTAACTAGGCAATATTAGGCCATACCCATATGGTTGCCAACCTTGGGAACCCTAGAGCAGATGGTTGTCTGGCTCCAGCAGCCATTTGCATCACTAACTCAATTAACCTCTGGTAAGAATGAGGGAATTATGTCTATTTTTATAAATATCATATGCAACTCAGGTTACCTGCTTAATATTATCCTGCCTGACTGCAGGGAGTAAATCAAAGGAGATTGTTAGAGGGAAAAACAGAAAAATGAAACAATGACAAATAAGGTTCCTTGAGGAAACACTGGGGAAGCTATTAATTGGGGAATAGCCACCTGCCTGGTTCCAGCTAGGCTAGCAAGGTTTATTCTTCCCAGGCCCAAACCTAGGATCAAAGGGGATACTAAAACCCTAAAATGCCAAACTAGGGAGGAATGGGTTGAATGGGCAGCAGTAGCTGGAGATGAGTCTCTGATAGACAATGAATGCCACAGGGGCTTTCTGACCCTCCCAGCACAGGAGCAGGGTGTCTGAGCTCAGTAGAATTCACCCAAAACTTGCAAAGAAAGAATAAAGTTTAATAAGAACTTGGTGTACAGGCCTTTTGGTGTTTTATCCGTTTTCTCTGCTTGAGCGAATAATCAAAGCTTTGTTTTGAAGATGTTTTTGAGTTACTTTAGCCAGTTGCTTGTCACTGGCTATGGTGGAAGAGATTATTCAGTATCTCACTTTTATACTACTTCTGCATTTTGAGTATAAATCCTAGATTATAAACAATTTAAACTCCATTTTTAAACAGTTGTATTAAATTAGTGGGTTTATTTATTATGAAAACCAAAGTGTAAGAATTAGAGTTTTTGCAATAAATATATGTATAGATAATATGTTTCTGGATCTTCTTATATAATATGACAGCACACAGCAAATACAGAAATATACAAACTTATCTCAATACCTAGAGGAATGGTTGATCAATCAATCAGACCACAGCTTTCACGTTTTCTGGATAACTTTTACTCTTTCAATATTTTTAAATGCATAAATAATAATTTAGATTGCACAAAGCTAACCACTAAGTGGAATATTTTTCATAGTGCTGGGAACAGAACAAACCCACACTGCAGTATCTACTAAGTACTCACCACAGTTTGATGGTTGACCTGGATCACCTCATCCCCTGCATGGATCTTCTTACACTGGTCTGCAGGAGACTAGAGGCAAGAGATAACAGTTAATTTGGCAACTGTGAAGGACCTAAGAACTAGTAGGGGAAAAAAGACAATAGGCCCTGCCCAAGGAAACTCTATTCTAATAACAATAGTAAATTGTATTTATAAGGTGCTGTGCTTCCTTTTCCAACCACAGTATACATACCAGTATTGTGACTGGGTACTGTAGGGATGGGAAACCTAAACTAGTGATCATCTTCTCCACTGAGCCCTGGTACACTCTATTGCTCACCTCCCATGCAATTTAACTTGTACTACTGTTCTTGCAAATATGAGATTAGGGTGTCAAGCAGTCCAGACTCCATGGGTGCGAGTGCATACAGCTGAATGGAAGGTGCCAGGCACCAGCAGGTACAGCTGAGATCTTGCGCTATTAAATCAATACAGTTGCCCAAAAATGTTGGAGAGCACCAAAAATATAGCCAAGAAAACAAAGCAGCTAGCCAAACAAATGATTCACTGAAATTTTAGGTTTGCAGCCAGTATGATACCCGAAATATCAATACGTTTGCCTCTTTCATTTGACAAGGGTGATTTGAAATTAAAAGTATCCTTTGAGAGTTTGACTCAGTTCTTCACTGATGGATAATAGCCTTGATAGATGATTTTCTTAAACTTCATCTACTTCAGACTAGACCTTCAAGATGAAATTGTCATAACTTTGGTTGCTTTGGGCTGGACCATATCTTTATTTAAGTGTAACCCAGACAGTTTACAATAACGCAAATATAGACTAAGGCTCTGGACTGGACAGAGCACTTCAGCATGTGTTCAGATCTCATTGACTCCAGTGAGCTTTAAGTATGTGCCTCAGTCCTTTGAGAAATATGGAGGGACTTGAGCATCTGTGTAAGTGCTTTGCTGAATCAGGGCCTAAAAAAGAAACAAGATTAATTCTACCACTAAAAACTAGACTAAAAGTACAAAGAAAACCAGCATGTTGTGACCCAGATCTTCTGAATTAAATAAAAACAAAGGGGTGGGATGGGGGCTAATTTAGGAAGATCCCTGATTATGAAAAGGAATGTAGTGTTGTGTTACCAGAGTAGTAAATCTAGAAGTAAAGTGAGCTTTTTTCACTTCCCCCAAAAAACTTCTAAGTAAACCTACTCAAAAATATTAGGAATATCCTTGTTGAAATAAACTTTATAATAACTCTAAAAACTTCATTCAGAAAAGCACCTGGGACACGTGCAGTTGGAAATGTTTTAACTCCCTTATTTCTTAAATGTTTAAATGGCAAATACCTTTATGAAATGCATACTTGCAAAGATGTTCTATAAACATTCAACTCCTAATACAGCTCCTAATATCATTCCTATGTAAATGGTAAAATGTTTAAGGATTAGATTTAAAAACTCTTGTAATAATTTTATTGGAATATTGAAATAGAATTAACTTAAAATATGTTAATCTCCTGGTAATCACCAAATGATTAGAATATGTATTCCTGGAGAGGAGATGGAAGTTAAATATTGGTAAATTAATTAATTTGATTAAAAATTCTTAATATTCGTTAACTGGCATGTTTTAAGACAGCTCCTTGCATGGCAAATGGCTTCTTCCAAGTTACTGATTTAGATATTTTCTTCAATTTCATAGAATTTAATTAAATAGCTTTGCTCAACTATAAACTGTCTCATTGTTCTTGTTAATAACCAACAAGAGCCACCTTTCCTTAAACAGAAGTATTTTGCCCATTCATAAATATTTTAAGTTATCTAAGGACAGACTAAGACTGGCTTCACAATAATTTTGGGAAATAAGACCTTGGTCTCCATTTAACAAAAGAAAAGTGTCCCAGCAAATGCAGGCCCACTCTCAGAGGTGTAAACCCTGTTAAAAGCTCTGCACAGAGAGATGTACAGAAGACACTGTAATGGAAGTAACCAGTTTGTCATTTGTGTTGTTTTTTTTAAATGTTTTCTTTCTTTAATATTAAAATAGCCATGGCTGTTAATTATTTTTCTTGATCTCAATCATGATGTCCCATGAGGTGGAACAGGAACAGAAAAGAACCCATGACTAAAATACTGGGAATCACACCCCTGAAGTGGCAGTTAGAGAAACAATTAGTAAGAACTGGCTTACCATTCCTTGCTTCACTAAACTAAATTTTTAGTATTAAAAAAAAAAATAATTGGCATTCAACAATTTAAAATTGCCCTATTTTACCATACTCTGCCTACCGCTGCACGCTTCAGGTGTTGACAGTCATATGCTCTTGGACCTCAGTGAGAGTAATGGTATATAGCAGCCAAGAGTTCAGAAAATATGAAAATCCATAATTTATACAAACATAATTGAATCCCAATCCTTTCTCCCTGAGAAACCTGGCCTTTGATCTAATGTCACCAGGAGGCATAACAGGCTCTCTCAGTAAAATTCTTGTGAACTAAACATACTAACTAAGGTAGACATTGTGTGGTTTAAGTGACATATTCAGCACATGGATTAAAAAACTGCTGTTTAGAGCCACCTTTTCAGTGTTACTGCAGGGTGTGGTGACAGCTAAACAAATCTATATTTTTATTGTGGACAGGGCCGGCTCCAAGTTTTTTGCCGTCCCAAGCAAAACAATTTCCCTGTGCCCCCCCCAGCCCTGCCGCATTCCAACCCCTTCCCCAAATCCCCAGCCCCACGTCCTCCCCCGGACGCGCCACATTTTCCCTCCTACCCCTCCCTCCCAGGCAAGCCTGGGAGGGAGGGGAGAGAAGCGGAGCAGTGGCGGCGCACTTGGGGGAGGAGACAGAGATAAGCTGGAGGGGGGGGGAGAGCAGTTCATCTGCCCCCCCCAGGGTTACTTCCTGTGGCCCTCCCTACGTCCCCCACTGCCGCAGCTCACCTCCACTCCACCTGCTCCCCTGAGTGCGCCACTGCCGCTCCGCTTCCCCCCTCTCCCTCCCAGGCTTGCCGTGCGAATCAGCTGTTTTGCGGCAAGCCTGGGAAGGAGGGAGGGGGGGGAAGCGGAGCGGCAGTGG